CGAATAAGCTAGTATTATTTTAGTAATGTGTAGTCGCATCTTCTTCTTTCTCGTTCCCTCAATGCTGAGGATCGTGACCACGAACAATAAGTGTAGTCGAATAAACATAAAAAAAAACAATTTGAGCAATGAGGGTATTGTTCAAGATTTTTAGGGTTCCGTACGTTAAAAGGTAAAAAAACGCATCCTCATAAGACCTCTTGTCCGCCTGTCTATCTGTACGAGTTCGACTCGCACTTGACCGCTTTTTTTTAAATATTTATGCGATTACTCAATTAAAATTCTTAATTTTCATAACAAACACATTTACCACACCGGAAAATAACACCTGTATTGTAGGCGGTTTTATAATAAGAAATCATAAATACAAAGTACATCTTTACGCTGAATAAGTAATTGTGAATGCGAATCCCGCATCGTCGTAAATTTTTCGCCAATTTATTTTCACAAAAATCACATTTTAAGTTTTCGATGACACAAATCCTTGGTCTATCGAGCGAACAAACACGGTGCGTAAAAGCAGTTGACCAATTGCGTTGTCCGTGCAGTCAACTTTATGATTTTTCTACTATCATAAGGGCGAAAAAACTTTCATGGATAAACACACTAAAAAGACGCTGCATACGGGAGAATTTAATTAAAACAAAATTCAATCATAACGATATAAACCAACATATATTCATATAAAACAATATAAAACAAAGTGGTTCCGCTGTCTGTCTGTCCCTATGTATGCTAAGGTCTTTAAAACTACGCAATGGATCTTGATGCGGTTTTTTTTACTAGATAGAGTGATTCAAGAGGAAGGTTCATATGTATCATACACTGCACCAGTGCGAAGCCAGGGCGGGTCGCTAGTACAGCATCAAGTGATTATCACCGTAAATAATATGGACACAAAATGTGTATCTAAAAAAAGTATATTGTATGTATCTAAAAAAGTGTATTGTAGCATAGGATATAAATAACAATTGCGCGGCATACAGAAAGATTTATTTAAAAAAACAGTACATTTTTGCTAATGATGAATTCCAAACGTTCCGCTGTACATATTATTTGTGACATAAGAGAGTGAATTGTGACAGCGATGCCGAAGTTGCGCTACTATATTCCACAATAGCATACGTTTGAGATGCACATTACAGAGTCGGAATAATAACAGGAGTAATTACAGACGTTTATACAATCGTACCCGATGTTGCAATAGCTCGCTGACGTCTCTGTAAAGCAAGAAATTTATCATGAAAAGATAGTTCACCTTTCATTTATATTTTTATCATGGACAGCATAACTAATTAAATCTTTATTCCATGTGATGTAACACTTTACATGGCTGAGTTAAATGGCCTGTTTGAGTCCACTGCTGAAAATAGGCCCCACCCATAGACTTCCACGAAGCACGATCCTGAGCCACCCTTTATCCATCAACTTCCTGCACATTTGCACAGGTCGTCACTTCATCTAGTGGGGGGTCGTCCTACACTGTGATGGCCAGTGCGAGGCTGCCACTCGAGAACCATTTTTCCCCAACGGTTATCGGTTATACGAACTATATGGCCGGCCCATCGCCACTTCTTCCTCATCTTTTGAGCTATGACAGTTCTACTGCGTTATCTTTGTTCTACTGCGGATATTATTTTTATGTGAAAAGTTGCCAAACGAGCAGACGGTTCACCTGATGGTAAGTGATTACCGCCACCCATGGACATCCGCTACACCCGAGGGTTACAGAGGCGTTGACAACCTAAATATCTTCAATTTCAAGTGATTAGCACCTTAAATAATATGGACCACAAAATGTGTATTTAAAAAAGTATATCGTATGTACTAATGTCCGCATGAACATAGTACATAATACATAATACACAATAACGGTTTATATAAATGACTTTAAATTATTGGTAAATGTCAATAAATTATAATTGGTTTTTCAAATTTGTTACCAAGCATCATGGTGCTTTTTGAGGGTCGAATAGCAAAAATTTTCCTCTCATAATTTTTCCAAACACACCAAAAGATATAAAACTTCAAAATACTTTAATATCACGCTGGTCTTCTGTGAATTTCATTCATGCAACAATATCTGCTCTTTCGCGGCTCTATCATAACAAAAATACCTATGAATTTGTGTACTCCGTCAATAGCCAATTCTCGCTATAAGGGGTCTACCACGATCTTTTTTAATTTATGTGAAATTTGCCAAGCTAGCAGACGGTTCACCTGATATTATGTAAATACCGCCACCCATGGACATCTACTACACCCGAGGGTTGCAGGTGCGTTGACAACCTTTTGAAAATTGGGCTCCGGCTACCTCACTCATCACTCATCGAAACGCGAAATTATTATACTTCCACTTTACGCCAGTCTTCTGTGAGGTCGTGGTACTTACCCGGACGAACCTGCCATTTCGTGCAACAGCCGATCTATCCTCTGAACAAATAATTTAAACAGATCCTGTCAATACGAATTGGAAATCCGTTTACATTTAGAATCTTGTTTATTTACATTAGATATAGTCATAATTCCAGTACAAGGTCTCCCAATTGAGGCAGGCTTCCATTGTGAAGGTAATGGTGATTGTTTTTTTCTACATATGAAGAAAAAGCTCTACTAGTAATGGTTTCTAATGAAGTGTCTCTCAGAATTTTATAGGTACTTATCATGCTATGCAGATAGCTTGCTACGTCGTCGGGGTCAGTTTCGTCGGGGGCGTTTGCCACTCGAGAAATGTGGAAAAAGTGATGTCTACATAGACCTTCTACATAGACATAATAGTTTATTTATTAATAGATCTAACTAGTGGTCATGGATGCTTGTTATAAAGATCCACACAAACTTCAAAATGTGTATATAACATAATGTAAAAAATATATCAATGTGTATACAATTTCCGCCATTTTTATTTTTGCTAGAATTTGAACCTATTCCTTCCATATTACGCGTCCAGTCACTCTGCGATCGACCTCTCCGCCGTAAGAAATTCTCGACGTTAGATTAACTATTCTTTCACTGCATTTTAGTAATGCCTGAGATTATCTAATATGCTCTAGCAATTCTTGGCATTTACTGATATATAATATTATGTACATTTATTTTGGAATATGTGTATCATAGAGATCCCAATAGAGTTCCCAAAGCATTGACATAGTTGATACTATATATCGTATTCAATACGTCTTGTACCAATTTTCCTATTTAACCGACTTCAATATTTTCCGTTGTTATTTAGAAAGCCACAGGCGTAGGTCGATAGGTATACAATTGGTTTAACGTATATAATATGCAAATTGAAAAAATATCGCCAATTGTTGGATTTACTCACTTTTGATTGGTACTGGTCCACTTTGTTGCAGGGCAAGTGGGTTTCCATACCTGCCACCGGCAGTAACCACAGCGATGAGAGCTGCCAATATTACGACGAGTTTCATGTTTCTTACTTCTGGCGTTGAAGTGAATACTCGACGCCTTTCAGTCTGTGTATTTAAATACACCGAAGCCCTGAACAATAACTCGGAATTGGTAACGCTTTGTTACATTTAGTAACGGCTAGTTATCGAACTAATACTCTCGATTCAACCTGAATTAGTAGTAACAATGCGATTAGGTTTAACAATTTACCGGCCACAAGATGCAATGATTTATTTACTGCGATATTTATGACCCTGCGCTAATGTGTCGATAATGAGTAGTTGTCACCACGGACGTATAACGGCAACAGAAGAATATACGAAATGAGGGCGAATGTGTGGATATATGTATATATAATAATTTTACACAAGAGTTAAGAAAATATGATCCTGCGATGGTAAAACTATCACATGTATAGACACTCACAAGCCCTGTCTTCTAGCCGATCCATTTATTTAGTATCAGAAGCTGGTAGGTGGCTCTATTTTAGTGGTACTCAATGAGAAAATACCGCCCTGCAACAATCCTAACCTGTATGATATTGATTCGCCGATTACTACGGCTCACTATAAATAATTCTATTTCACGTCAGTTTGTGGCTATGGTTAATCCCCCATGTACTCAATCCATCTATACTATAGAAAAAAGAAGGAGACGCCTATTTCCATCCATATCATACTGTGCTTGGCCACTATCACTATAACCACCAGATAGTCAGTGTGATCAAGCCATAAGTGATAAGCACTATCTTATAAACATAATATTAACTATTCATTAGTGTCAACACCATACTCAATATACGAAGCTAGAAAGTATTTTGCTGTATGGAAAAGTTACCTGATGGTAATTCACTGTCCACCTGTCCCTAAGCGGCAGTGAACACCATCAGGTGGAACACTCGCGGCACTTACACCACCAGATTAGTCACAAATGCGTAGCCTGCCTTAGAGATAGGAAAGGGCTCTCATTTTGAAGGAGCCTCAGTCATAGGTCCGGAAATACCACTGATGACAACTGATTCCACGACGTGGTTGTGCGTGGCAAAATAACGCAAGAAACGACAGTGCTGGGCTGCCAACCGTCGGGATGATAGGGATGGTATTTGGCAGTTTGACGCAATGTACGGTCGTAAAACTCAGCAGCGGTTACTAATCCGAACAACTCCTCAGATCACAACCCGTGATAGATACGATAAAAAAGAGATGAGTCCTTTCTTCGCAAGGCCAAAGGGTTCATGGTCACCACGTCAAAGCATGCACCGTCAACAACGACTTTGATACTCCGATCCGTGAGAAAACTAGTACTCCAAATGCATAGCATATATTTCATATTGACGTCAGTCTTAAATAACAATAGAGCAGTGGAAACAGATGCATCGCTCTAGTATGGTAAAATTAAAACACTAATACAGAACGGTAAGACCACGCCCGCATCGAAAGGGAATTTAATGCTTTCGTGTGAAGCGAAGATAATAGCCGCAACTAATCGCAACTATACGGAGCTAACGTGCTTTCGTTGATCAGATCCACATTATAAATACGGACTGTTTTCCATTAAAATGCATATTTGGAGCTCGAGCTAAAGCAGAAATGAAGTTCGTTCTTGTATTGATCGCCGCCATTGCTATGGTGAATGCGGCCCACAAATTGGGACGGCCGGTACCCTTGAACGCGGCTTCATCCGGACCAGGTGAGGCTTTATAATTAATCGGGATCGTAATTGCAGTGGTGTCAGGAGGTAACCCTAGCACACCTCAGGATATATACTTTTTATGCTACAATAGGCTAATGTTAATCGTTACCACGTCCCTTACTGCTTACCCCTATCGTATTTTGTCGATAAATTGGCAGGGAGATAGATTAACATGTACACACAGCTTTCCGTTCAGATTTTATCGCCCAATTAAAAAATGCTGTTCAAATACAGCGTGTCGTTACAACGGCGACAATAAATGAACACACGTCTAACGCTACTTGCCAATAATCATAAAAAAAATATTAACGTTAAAAGAATACATAATTAAAAAAAAAATATTTTTCAAACAAACTAATTAAGTAAAAAAGAAACGAAAGTTGTAACACCTATACAACTACAACTGACTGATTCATAATTCAGAGACATTTTCATTCGCTGCCACAGCGTCGGATTACAATCCTCTCCTTCTAACAGTATGTTTTGTCTCTTTTAAATTCATTTAACCCATTAATATGCTTTGTGACCTTTACAAATGAACTTTACGTTACAGTTTTATACGTAAGGGTGTTCTAAAATTGTTTGTTTTGGAAAATTTAATAACTCTGTAAATATTGATGTTTAAAGAAAGTAAATGTTTAATACAATTTTAAAAAGTTATCCTCTATATGTGTGTTCATTTATTGTCGCGATTGTATAGACACGCTGTATACAAAAATATGAAGACTCGGAAGCATTCGATTCGATGTCAGGTTCGTGCTTTCTATTCCTTCACGAGACAAGTATCTGGCGCCGTAATTATTCCGGATATGGATATTTATTACCAAAGTGGGCTGATGTGAGGCCCGGTCGTAAAACGCCTTACCTATGCCATAAACAACACAATTCACATGTTGTGTCGACTCACCTAGGTGGGATAAGGGAAGAAGAAAGAAGAAACTGGATATATGGTGAAATATGATTATGTCTGCATTGAAATGATGATGTTTGTGTGATTATGATTATGTGTGATTAGAAACGTCTGTGATTTAAATACCTATATCTTTATCTTCAAAATCGTAATATTGCCCTCCAATTTCAGCTGTTTCAGACTTGTCCTACTCTGTCGACTACGTACTACTACGTATCATATCAGAAGGATGATGGCCAGGGACATTATCTGAAATAACCATCTTTTTTCAAATAGTGTCATTAAAATAATTTCTTTGCACAACATTATAGATTAAAATTTGCTCTCACTTCAAAAACGTGGTGTTACCATAAAGTTTCAGATGTTGCAGACACGGCCTGCACTGTCGACTACGACTGCACAATCCCTTGCTCCCAGGGCTGTCTGGGAACGGATATGGTTATTTGTTACGCGGGACAATGTTTTTGCTCGATTTAAGCAGCTTCGGATATAAACAAATCCACCATATGTACGCCATCATGTAGAACTCCATTTGAAATAAAAGTTTATTAGTATTTTTCGTTTTATTTTGGTAGGATATAATAATGGCGATGAGAAGGAAAGCGTGATTCCCTTCAAATTTGTCATTTTATTTTTGTTTTTAGCTACTATTTTTTTTCTAACTCAGTTGCCATATTGTAACATCGGAACGCCTTATTAGAATTATTTACATTGGAATATATAATAAGTAGGTAATCCTCAAAACGATTCCTCCAATAAGTATTTACTGCGTTACCTTTCTGTGTGAGAAGACGGCAAGTGAGCTAGCAGTTCACCTTAAGTTAAATTATAATACCCGTGGATATGAAGAGAAATCGCAATGAAGATATCCGCAGTAGAACAAGGTGACCTAAGTAGTTCAGAAGATTAGTAAGCTGAAGTAGCAATGTGCCAGCCATATGGCTCGTAGAACTGATAACCTATGGGGAAGAAAGGTTCTCGCAGCCTCGTGCTGGCCATCGCAGTGTAGGACTACTCCCTGTAGATGGAGTGACAATCGTGCAGAAAGTTGAAGGACTCAGGTAACTCAGGCAGTCTGTGGAGGAGTAAGCCATTTATGTCGAGAACGATATAGATATCCCATTGCGCATTTAATCCTTGCCCACAATATTGGTGATTTTGAGTAGAAAGTATTAGATGCTATGTCCAGAACGAATCCCGAACTAATATTTAAACCAGAGGTCATTTTAGTATGAACAAAGAGATTTGTTTTAAACAATCTCTAAAACTTTAAGAGTGTGGCGCCTGTTTTTTTTTTTTTTTTCAGATTCTAAAGAAAACATATTAATGTAAGTTATTTGAGAACCACTTAATCATCATTTGGCGATATAATAAAAACTTGATTACATATCCAAATTTTATTGATACTATTGACAAAAGATAATACTTTAGTAGGTAAGGTATAATATTTCCAAGTTGATTCCAAAAGAAATCTCAATGTGAAGAGATAAAACCGAAGGAAAATCTGACAAATATACCACTCGCCAAGCAAAGTTGGTGATATAGCAGATGTGCAGATGTGATATATTTGACATAATATATCACATTAGATCTTATCTTAAAACATCTTTATAATCGTGTGATGCCAGAGCAGTTAACTGTGTAAAGCTTACACTTACAAGTCACACATACACATTCATACAATAAAAAACACCACACTGTGAAGTTGATTTGCAGCTAGATGATAAATTCTAAATTTTCTATGTACATTTAGATCTAATGTGATATATTTAACATAATATATCACATCATAAAACATCTGTTCCACCATGTGATGCGAGAGCAATTACCTGTATATAGCTTACACTTACGGGTCACACATACCCATTCATACAATAGAAATCACCACATCGTGTAGTTGATTTGCGGCCACCTGTTAAATTCTACCAATTTTCTATGTACACCGCAATAACAGAACACAACACGTAACAGCTTACTTATTGGAAATGGTGACTATCACCGCCTCATTAAGTATAAGAGATTTGACAATAGCCGCTTGGCTTCCTGTCACTATGGAGCACGTTTGATGTCACAAGTGACTGGAATGGGGAGGGGTGAGGTTACATTGAAGGGGTGAAGCGGGTGGCACTTCCAACGGATCACCGCGAACAAAGATTTAACTAAGAGACAAAACACGCTTACTTAAGGTTGTTACCTATTTGAGGATACAGCATGTCCTATTCTACTCCAGCCGTTAGAAACTTTATGGAATGTATTACTGCTTTAAATTTATTTAGTGTCTTACATTTATAAAATGAATAGTAATGTTTGATATGTATAGATAATTGTAGACATCTGAGGGGGCATTATGTTTTTAATTTATTAAGCTAGCCTGCTATTACTAATACAAGAACTAAGAAACGCATGTGCTAAAGTTTCAATGCAAAATCAGTGGAATTTGAGATAATAGAATTATATACATACACGTACAAATTAAGGCCAAGAATTTAACTAGATTACAACACGAATTACATTCTCACCGAATGCCTATTACCAGATTCGTTACGACTAATTCTCTCCCTTTCATGAGATATTCTGTTTATATCTGAAAGGTCTACGTAGATAATTTCGGTACAGGAGTATTGGAACATGCTGTTTCAATGCTCACCTCGCGCTATTGTTTCTGAGTCTCTGACAAGCGTCGGCTTCGCTGAGTAACTTTTTAACGAGCCTCCTTTATATTATCTGTATTGTGTATTTCGCGAAATAATTAATTAGTCTTCGGTATTTAACAATGCGCCGTGCCTAAATATAAATCTTGAATTAAAATAAAAAATTAAAATTAAAAATGCCAGTCGATGAAAAATATGTGCTATTATTTATGTTTGTAATAGCATGGGTTCGTGTCCATATAAAATACAAACATCTACTGAGTACATTAAACTGCTGAGATATCATCATCATGATTTCAGACAGTTTGACTCATTCGTCCACTGCAGAACTGGCCTGAAATCCTACAGACTGTCTGAAAGCATGAATCTAAGCCACCTGCATCTCAGGCATCTCATCAGGCATACAACAGGCCGTAACTCCAGTCATGCGCGGTTGCCACTTGAGAACATTTCTTCCCCATCTGCTCTAATAGCTATATGGCCAACTCATTCCCACTTCAGCTTACTAATCCTCTGAGCCTCATAACCGTATATACCACGACTTCACAGAAGACCGGCGTGAAGTGGAAGTGCCCACTTTATACAAGGTGGCAACGCATCTGCAACCATACGGGTGTCGCAAATGTCAATGGGCGGCGATTATCACTTTACATTAGGTGAACCGCCAGTTTGGCACGTTCTCAAATTAAAGAAAGCCCAGCTACCGACCTTTGTTCTACCACAGATTCCTCCATTGCAAACTATCTCGCAGAGAAATACCGATCATAACTGCTACGGCAAGAATTTGTTGATATGGTGGAGTTATACACAACTTGTCCGGTTTAGGAGTTGAGGAATAGACAGATGTGCTCAGGCATACGAGGAAAAGGCTTCATTTCGCAATATTATTATTCAAGACATAACTGTTCTTGTCAGAACAGATTTGACCAAGTTAATGCCACTTCGGACATTTAACAAAGCCCTTCAACAAATTCGCTTTTCTTATGAAAAAAACTCCCTCGCCAACTTACACTGTAAAGTAAAAAAGGAAAAGTAACAGCCTATACATGTCCCACGGCTGGGCAAAGGCCTCCGCTATACAGGGGGTATCAGGGCATAGTCCACCACACGGCCCTACTGCGGATTGGCGGACTTCACATATCTTTGAAATTTATATATATTTATTATTTCGAAAAGGTTTCCTCCCGATGTTTTCCTTCACCGCGGAGCACGGGATAATTCAGCACTTAAAGTTAAAAACTTCATTGGTGCCGGCACCGGGGATCGAACTCGGGTTGCTCAGTATATTGAATTAAAGGCGAGCGCCCGGACACCGAGCTATCACGGCTTATTGTTACTCTTACACATATTATGAGGGCAGAATATTTGCATCCATCTTTCAACAAACAAGAAACTCATGCTATTCAATAATTAAAATAAAAAATCCAAAGAAAAAAAAATTAGGATGCCACCACTGAAGGTATCATCGGAAGCCAAGAAATCGTATAGCCAAGCGATACAAACTATTGAGTGCAAAAGCATCTTCCCAGTCGCTTCCCTCTTAAAAGCCCTTCGCTTACAATTTAAGTGAGTGGCGGTCCGCAACCACAATAAATCACGCCATAAATCTAACACTCCCATAACCGATCCCATCTACTTCATTCGTCATTTCTTTATCAGCAAAAAAGGGCAGGCAATATCCACCTTTGAAAAAATGAAGCGAGCGGCGCCCTACGGCCTCTAAGACAACTATTTATCCCGGTGAAAAAAACCACCCATAAATCATAGATTTTTTCGACCTGGAAAACTCGTAGGTGAGGCACGATAAATATAATCAACAGTAGAACACACGAGGCATAAATGGTGTTAAGGACTTCAGATATTTTTAAATAAATACATACAATAATGTTTTATTATAGATGACGCATGTCCATACTGCGCGGCGTTTAAAAACCAGTCAAGTGTAAGTCGGAATGGCGCACGAAAGGTTCCGTACCATTACTTATAATAATGGCAAAAAAATGTCTGTTGGATTGGATTAGTATTTGTTGTTATAGCGGCAACAGAAATGCATAATCAGCTGTAAAAATGTCAACTGCCTAACTGTCACGGATCATTAGATACAGCCTGGTGACAGACAGCGGAGTCTTAGTAATTGGGTCCCCTATTTTATTTATATATTTAACCTTTGCGTACAGAATCCTAAAACTTATTCCGCTTTTCATAATATCGATGTTATTATGCGACTTAATTTAATTACAACAATTGCCGTGATATATTAACTGATGTTTTTGCTTTCAGTCCCGAGACTATTAAATCTTCATCTGACGCAGTGTTGCCGTGATTTGAATTTTCTCAGTTTACGTGTTCTAGGAGGCCAGTAATTGCCTGATTTTTGTAGTTCCTTCATTCACAAAAGCATTTTGAAATAACTTTACTATTATAATATGATAAGATGTTTGTCCACGACTCGTTGGCATTTTAAGATTTTTTGCATACTTTGAGTGATTTCGGAATTCTTTGAATATGAAATTTAACTAATAAATGACGATGACCACTATTGCACGGGGGCATGGCCCAAGCATGTCCAAAAAACCTAATATTTAGCATTTTAAAGGGCCATGTCTATATATGGTGTTACCTATCGAGCTTAGGACAAATTTGTTTGGACAAACCTAAACTGGTTTATCCTATCGGGCTTGAGCCAAATTAGTTTGGACTAGGCTATACTAGTTACTCCTATCGCGTAAAGGAAAAACTAGTTTAGCCTAGGTAAAACTAGATTGTCCTAAAATCAGGTTTGGCCGGTAACATCTATAATGATGTCAATATACGCCTGGCATT